GACCGATACCGAGACAAAAAATCCCCAAACAAGCCATTCACTAATCGACCGCCCAACACAGCGCCCGCGACAAGAATGGCCGGTTGGCGTCAGCTTTCGTGCGTTTCTACGCATTCTTTAGTTCTTGCTGCCAGATGCTGCCAGGTATTGCTGGCGTCACAAAACCACTCCATGACGCCATCAAACAATGGCGTAATGAGGCGCCTTTTTCAAGCTTTGAAATTTTGCTAGTTAGGGTCGTTTTTGAGCCAGGAAAGTTTACCAATAGTTACAAGCAAACTTTTTGCATCATATCTGACGCTTATCTCAATATATTTAAATGGGGAACATTCCTTTTCAAATGTTGTACAATTTCTCTGCAGCATAATCCAACTGAGAACTTGCATACACTTCATACCTAATTTACATCAATATACCAGGCACCCAAACATGTCTGGTATGCACTCAACAGTGAACAATCTGTAGGGAATGAAGGAGACAATGCAAAGCATGGAATGTATTTTTTACCTTAATTCCCTTCGCACTGTTCACTCTCGGGAGCATATCAGACATGTTTTGGCGGCTGGTGAATTAATCCAATTCTTATATGAATGAAATGCAAATTGGCAGTTGGAACATTTTGCAAAGTAACTGGTCATTATTTTAAGCCATAGATGGTGTCTTTAAAGATAATCGGGAAGGAAGAAAAAACTGAAGTCGCACCACAACATATAGGACCAATAAAAATATAAGTAGTTTAATAAAGATAGAGCCCTAGAGTTCATGCCCATATACTTCGTAGCTTTCCAAAAGATTCAGTGACTTTTTAAAAGTTACAAGTCATCATTGGTAAAAACGGGCATAAAAGAGACAGTTGGAAACCTGGTAAAAATAGCCTAACACATCACAAATCGGTCAAGGGACCATCTCGGTGATTGCACTATTGCATTCACAGTGTCGCATCACACAATCGAACTCACACACGCACCCACTCATGTGCCAACATTCGTCTCACTCATTAGAAACTCCATAATTGGCGGTTGAATCGGCCTAGACTCTGAATATTGCGCAAGTCGGGCGGTAGACAGTTAAATCAATCCGATGCTCTGTAGCTAAATCGGCGAGTGCCAGAGTTGCTCACCACTCGGGGGCGCCTCAGCTGGTTAGCCTGTCGCATTTCATGAGTGTGCTCAGCACGTGTGAACATCGCGACCATATCTGGTGGCTGACACGTAAGACATTTTTGGGCGGGCACAACATGTGATAGGTGACGAGCTGATCAGCACTAACCATCGTAGATCCCTGACAACATCCGATATATGGTCACACCTTCTCCTTCCGCTCACAACCCGCGCACAGAAGTTCACGAGTTTTTGCACGCGATGGAACTGGGTGGCTCCGTGAGTACCATATAGTGCTATATAGTATCTAATGGAAGAAAGAACTAGAGCTCCGACAATGCGAACGAGGGTATCTCTTGGGAGTACATGCTTGGCATGGGACAGGGCCATCAGAGCGCCCGTCGACCCGGCAACAAGCTGATCAATGTGCGGTACAAATGAGAGATTTCTGTCCATCACCACACCCAGGTTTTTGACAGCACTGCTTTCAGTGATGACAGCTGACCCGAACTCGACATGCTCGGGAGGCATATGACGCAGCATAGCCTTCGTCCCGAAAACCACTAACTGTGTTTTTGTTGCATTGACTTTCATAGAGTGGTTGTTAAACCAGTCCAATACAACTGACAAGATATTCTCCATGTTTGCGACAAGCTGTTGCATTGCACATGTCTTTCTCGTTACCAAAATCTGTGTGTCATCGGCATATTGTATCACTGTAGCGCACTCTGAATATAACGCTAGATCGTTCGAGAAAATGGAATATAGGAGCGGCCCGAGGGCGGTACTCTGAAATACCCCCATCCCATTCGGAAGAGTACGAGAGCGCACAGTATGCCCTGAACGATATCTGGCCTGATCCTGTTGGGTATGCCCGCAAAGGTAGCTTTCAAACCATTTCGTGTCGATATTGCATATCTTAAGCTTGGATAAGAGAAGCTGGTGGTCCACAACGTTAAAACATTTTGACAGATCTATAAAAAAAAGCAGAGCGATCTCACCAGCATCCATCGCGGTATTTTATCAGTCACTACAGTAAGTGCGGTCTCTGTTGAAAATTTCGCACGATATCCGTGTTGTGTATGCGAAAAGAAATCATGCTCGTTAAAATATGAACTTAGTTGATGATGAACAATACGCTCGACCATCTTCCTTATCGCTGGCACTACAGAGATTGGCCTAAATTTGGTAGGATCGTTCAAATCACTGGTTTTTGGGAGCGTTGTGACAAGAGCGTGTTTGCAGGCAAATTTGTTCGGTGTTCGTCAAAAATGTTCGGTCAAATTTTGTTATCAATTGGTTTGACCAAAAAGTTGTGAAAAGGAGTGCTCAAATTGTGAAATTCAGCTGTTAGAGTTCATTGAGAAGGTTTTCTTAATTTTTCACTTCTACTTTTTGGGAGTGGTGCAATTTAGTGGTTAAGTTTCTTCGGGTACAAGAAAAACGTGGAAAAATTCTCCACTGCGCTGTGCTGGTGGTTGTATCGGTTTTTCTTTGCTGTGGTGTTCGGGTGGTGTGACCCAAGAAATTGGTGATGCCTGAAAATCTTGCATTTGGCGCATGGCTGATGATTGTGATAAATGTGATTAATAACCCAAACTTAATGCACGCAAGTGGCTGGAGTCACTGAGGCTCTTGGGCTTGAAGGTACCTGGTGTCCTTGGTTTTTAAATACGTAGGCATAAAACACCCGTAGGTGAGACAAGATATAGCCATGGGTGTCCAGGTTCTGTTGACCCCTGTTTATGCTTGATGGCTTCAAGTGAGCTCGGTTTTGGATGACGCCTTAGAACATCTGAAAGGGAAACATGGGCTTGGTATGTGTGGTTGGGCAATATCAGGTAGGAGTGAAAAATTCGCATTAAGTATGGGGGAAAATGAGTGAAAATTCCGCCTCATAGGGTGCTCTTTAACACGCAGTCGGTGATTCTAGGACGCTGAGCATGAGTATGGGCATGCACATTTAATCAGCGTATTGATTTCACCTTACCGTTCTTATATAAGAATGGAACTATCCGTGTTACCCAAAACAAAAATAGATTTTAGTCGCGATGCGCCTGCTGATTGGATGACCACTGTGGGTTAACCTGCTTGTTGCCGCGTTGCAGTTGTGCTCGAAGCATATCTGTCTCGGCAAATACCAACAGGCTTGATAGGGTTTTAGTTCGTGTGGGACATTGGTTGAATTAGAACCCACCATTTGGAGAGAAACGGTGCTTTCCTCAGGAGATCAGGGAATAGCTAAGGGGATCCGCGGAAATACTGGGATATCCGTTGTCCCCGGCTTGGCGCAGGGGCACGGACGAGGAGCGCTGCTTAGCGGTACAGCATATCGGACGGGGGGCTGAACGTGCGCTTGGCCGGCCGTAGCGACGAGTGAGTGTGGAAGACTGCCGGTATGGAGCACGTGGCCAATAACACGATGGACAACGGCGCAGGCACGTGGACAAGAGCACGGCGGACGATGGCACAGGCACGCGGAGCGTCAGTCCGGTGCGGTCCAGCGGCTGCAGTAGCCAGGCACTGGCACGTACAACTTTACAAATTAACTTGGCCTGGGTCATCCTCACGAACATTTCCATGCATGTGTTTAGAGCTACTCCTTCCTTTTCCTACACTTACAAATATGTGGTAAACCCTGCGCGGTGTTTCATGCTTCCTCTTTGTCTTTGGGCGGGTAGTACATGTCCCCTATGCCCTGCCTAACCGATGGGAAAGTTTTCAGGCTCGGGGCACGCCAGCTGGAGTACAGAAAGGCGATAGGTTAAATACCATCCTGAGGTACGCAACAGACATGGACACGGTGCTACAGAACATCCGGCAAGAAACAGTCCTGTGTTTGCGATGTTTGCAGCAAAACAGTTTGCTGTATCATTAGCTTTGTTAAAAAATATTGTGTATAAGGGCATCAACCCTGTTACCAGGCGACCAAACCCCACCACTACTGACATCGATGACCGATGGCTTCAGTTCCAGACATAATTCAACGGAGGCCTAGAGGCGTTTCCTGCGTCTGAAGAACTTTCAGTGTATTAAATTGGAAGTGCATTGATTCGTTTGTTGACAGCTTAAGACCCCGCTGCAGTGTACGGCGTGGGCCACGTGTCCGTGGCGCTTGGCAGGTTCTGGAAAATGGGTCCGCCGATCTCATCCAAGACGGGCCAGTGCATTTGCAGGCTTGCTCTGACGTCTTCCCCGAGACGGAAACGCTCCACAGAGACAAAAAGCCCGCGCGCTCGAAAGTATCTAAAGCGCAAGATCTGCATCAAGAGCCTCTCGACTGAGACGCTTCCGCACGTCCTAGTGGCGCCTCTTAAGCCGTTTGCTAGAGAAGGTGTCGCTGGAGAAGACGTACGGCCAGATCAACATTACCGTGAACTTCTACATCAGCGGACTGAGCCTCTCGCCCGACTCCGCCGGACAGGTTCCTTGCAAATACAACCTGTGCGGCGGGGCCTACCGTTCTGACACCCGACTCCGCAGGACAGGCAATCTGGAAGTACAACCCATGCTGCGGGGCCTACCATTCTGACACCCGACTCCGCCAGACAGGCGCCCTAAAAGTAAAAACTGTGCAACGGAGCCAGCCATGCGACGTGACTAGCAGCGGGCGTTGTCGATCCCTCTTCTGTGGGGTCCTGGCAGCCAGGTCAGGGATCTGGTGGGGATGTGAACTATTCAGTTGAAAGGCTGCCTAGTCGGTCCATCATGTCGCCTGCCATTTACATCGATGGCATTGTTTGGCTCAGCTACAAATGATCATAAGAGTGCGATGATAACAGTTTATTTTACATGCGCCTGTATTTCTTAGCAATACGGACGGATAAGTATTTCACTCATGTAGCCACACAGCCTCGCACACTCGTAGACGCTATGTCTAGCGCTCGCCGTCCATCCGTCTTAGTAGTTGCGGGCGGGGGCAGGAGCACTGTAACGAGTGGGAGCCGGAGCAGGAGCATTGTACTGCCTGGGGGCAGGAGCGGGAGCGCTGTACTGCCTGGGAGCAGGAGCAGGAGCGGGAGCGTTGTACTGCCGAGGAGCAGGAGCAGGAGCCGCAGGAGCGGGAGCGCTGTACTGCCTGGGAGCAGGAGCAGGAGCGGGAGCGTTGTACTGCCGAGGAGCAGGAGCCGGGGCGCTGTAGCGGGCGGGAGCGGGGGCTGGGGCAGAGCCATAGCTCTGCTCGCCCTGGTACACCTGCGGCACGATCGGCAGCGGGTACTCGGTCGGCACCGGCGTCGGCAGGATGTCGCTAGACGGCTGGTAGCCGTTCTCGTCGGCAACAAACGTCATCTGGATGGGGTTGCCGTAGTCGTCGCTGTAGCTCCAGCCGCCCTGCTGGACGTAGCCGCCGGTGGGCTGGCCGTACTCGGATTTGCCGTAGCCGGCCTTGGGGCTGCCGTTCTCGTTACGTGAGATGCCGTTCTCGGTCTGGAAGCTGAACTGGTAGGTGCCGTCGCCCGGGTGGACGTTCTCCTCGCTGAGGATGGCGAAGGGCTGGCCGTAGCCGGCCGGCTGCTGGTAGGAGGCCGGTGCCGCCGGCTGCTGGTAGGAGGCTGGTGCCGGGGCCGCTGGCCGCTGATAGGAGGCGGGCGCCGGCTGCGGCCGCGGGCCATCAGCGCAGGCCAGAGCCGCCAGCGAGGCTACGATCAGCTGGAAACACACCCAGCTGACGTCAGAGGGGATGCCGACTCAACGGTGCAGACAAGGGTTGAGATTGCGACGCATGATTTCACCATGACAAGACGCAGTTTAGCACCTTTGCCAGACCACTCTTTGTTATCGATCTCCGCCCGTGGATGCAGGGATCAAGGGATAGCTATGGAATGTGTGCAGCATCTGTGCGCGTTGACTGGCAACGCGGCGATTCACACTGATTCAGGGGCTGTTGAATTTGGAGCCTGACGTCCGAACGTCTGTTCTGATCTCTTCTGACCAGTGCATTATCATGTGAAAGTTTTGGATGTCAAATGAAATACTAAGTTTTTAAGTGGGCCAATTTAAGCCAGTTAGATTACTTTTGCGGCTCACCAAAATGGCTATATACCTACCCGTGTAGACTACTTGGGACGGATATAAAAAAGCACTGAGGCGCTGCGACTGTGGGCACTTTGACTTCGTCTGCTACGTAAAGAAATGACCGCTGATCAACGACCTTATCTAAAAGACCCTCCCTGGCGCCCCAACTGGCAGTACAGACACCGCTGAACTACGAAAGGCAACCCTCATGTCAAGCACCGATCTCCCTGACCGCACTCACCAGCTTCATGTTTTCCGTGGCGTTGTGAGATGGACACCACTGCTGGCGAGTGACTGGTGCCTGATGTCTGTGCGGCCGGGCTTTTATTTGGCCGTGGGAGGGCGACGCGGTTGGCCGTCACGCTGCCGCCGGCGGCGCTGCCCCGCCTGACGCAACGCCCTCTGCAGTGGGCGTCCCCGTCCAGCCAGACGACCCGACCATAACCGGCCGCCGGTCCACCGATTCCACGTGAGCCGGCCCGACCCAGCGCTGCTTCCGAGAGGGCGGGGACGGCGGCACGGAGCACGCACAGAGACAGGTTCAGGTTGGAAGCAGAAGAAGAAGAAAGCAGGTTGGCAAGGTTGGTAGCACAAGCGGCAGGCTGACGCGCTAGACCGTGTCACCTTCAGGTCGGCTTCGGAGCGGTATGGTCGCGCAATCGAGCACCAGCCAATGATTTATAGACGAGCGGCCGATGTCGGAGGCCTTTTATGTTGCTACTGGTACTGAAAGGCTGTTGAAGATTTTGAACCATGTTTCAAACGGTTATGCAAAAATGACCCGTTGTCCGTACGTTTTTTAATAACACGCGTCACCATGGCGTGAGCCGAGAGTTCCTAGAAACATCACATGGAGTAATCCGATGAAACACTTGATCAGTTTTCCGGAACTTTTAGCCAGATTGGGAGACTAAACACCGACAGGAAAACACGCCAATGACGCGAACTGTGAGGGTATAGTCAATTGCTTGTGCCTTGTGCTGCCATGAGAGAGCTAACTGTGCGTGTGCCCTTAGCAGCCTAGCCTCGAGTGTTGGCTTTGCTCGTAATCCCATTAAGGCCGACAGCCATCCACCGTGCAGACGACATACTGGCCTCACATCCCGCTCCGTGGCGGCCGTACGCGCTCCAAAGCTTTCCTGTCGTGTTCATCACTCACAGGGGTATGGTAGCCACTTAGATATCACTGTGTTCGGAAAACGTGAGCAATGATAGAGAGGGCCGGGTGTGATGATGCATGAATAAGTTGCCATTAAACAGTTGCCGGTACTTTTGCAAGTTTTTCTGCTCTCGAGAAGAAGGAGCATAGCACGGCGTGGCATGAGCACTCACTGGCACGGCTGTGGTCGCCGGCTCACGCTCGCTCACGGCATCGTTTGTGGTCTTGGTGTGCCATGCCATATAAATATCCTCTATAGGGATGTGTTAGCCACCGTACGAACAACGGCGGATGGACAAAGATCTATGCGATGATGCGATAAATTTCGACTGCGCAGCAATGCTCCGTTAACGTATAATGAATTGTTAATGTATGAAAAGTCAACAAGACATTGATGATAACGATGCGCTCAGTTCTCCTTAACTGCTTTCTGGTCCATGTGGCAACTTAATTTTTTTCACGTAGTGCTCGCATGTGGTTGGAAAGCCATCATGTGGAAGGAGATTTACTAAAGCCCCAGTCCTAAACCGTGGAAGGTGTTCGACATACATGTAACTCTGGACCAAACGGGCAGAACAACTCTGAGCTCTTCTGAGCGGTGTCACACGGCCTGACATCCTGTCAGGGTATACGGTATGAGATATCCGCATCCTCCAGCTGCAGAGGTCCGCCTGGCTCCGACCGTAAGACGGTGGGGACGGTTTAGAAAGGTCGGCTTCTTCCAAAATGCCATGCTGGATCCCGGCTCACCCTGGCGAGGTGGTGATCTGACGATGAAATTTGAAACAGCACATGGACAACAGGAACAGAGATTTTGCGCTTGCATCTCATCTCGCTAACGAAGCGAACTCATGACTTTGCACTGGCAAAGCGTAAAGAAGTCTGGATATTTCCAGTTGTGGAAAGTCTACTGAGCTCATTACATTGTACATGGAAACAAATGCTAAACAGTTCTAGGAAAGTTCAGACATATTTCATGTCATACAGCCACTAGAACTGGACAGTTTTACTCTTTCCATTTCACAACATCCGAATGCGCCACAACAGCCGCAATGCCATATTCGTATTGGAGTATCAAACTCGGGATCTTATATGTTGTGTGTGCTGTCCTTAGAGGGACGTATCATTCAACAGCATGAAATAAAGTTACATTGTTGTTTGTTATGCTGCGTACACGCAAGGGTAGTAAGAATAAGCTGTTCAAAAATGCTGCTGTGTCACTGACATGCGCACTTAGCAAAGCAGCAAAACAACGTGGCATATTTATCAATATCTCATTGAGCAAATTTCTGTTGCCACAAAATGATCGCGGAAAAAAATAGTTGGCAACTGATATCTAGACCTTCGTTTATGACTCACATAGCCTGCTGACCAGCTTTCGGATCTTAATCGCAGTAAAATATACGTCATATGCTGAACTGTATCTTTTACATAGACCTGCGCGCAGATACCTGTTTTGAAGGAGATGGCAACGTAAATGGAAAGCACATATAAATTAAAAGTATACTTTGAAAACTAATGGCCGTTGCGGTAGCGGTGAAACGCATCACATCAAGTGTGCCAAAACAAAACGCATGCGTAGCTCAGTCCGGTGTCGCTGAGCCCATCGTTGGAGCAGCAATAATCCAAGCACAGGAGCCGTCGCGTGTCCAACTTAGGAGTCGCGTGTTCAGGTCAGGATGATTCGCTTGTCCAGCTCAGGAACAGCGGCGTGTCCAAACAAAGCGTCACAGAACTCCAGGTCCCCTCCAATCTTCTCGGAAGGGCCAACAGACCCCTAAGAAACAGTGATAGAAAAAATGGAAAATTCGGCACAAAGGCATTGTTGTGCAAAGCGCCCTTCGTTACAACGCCACCTTCCCCGCACAAGCTACCTCTTGAAATTACCAGATACCGCACCCCAGCCCATCCTACCCTAACCCCCTTCGCTCTCGGAGTGTTCTAACCACGCCCTAGCCCCACCACATTTCACATGATATTCTCCATATGTTTTGTGACTTTTCGTCCGACCGTGAAGATAAATTGGCATAAGTTCAGTGGGAAATCCAAATTTCAGGGTTGGTTAGGTGAATCCCGATTTGGGATCGGTCATGTCATTGGGATGTTCCAATGTCTCCCCCCCGCCGAGTGGGGAGGTAGTTTCTGACCCACTCAAAAATCCTCACACCGCAGTTAATTATGAACCGGAGCCGCTTTCACTTGAGCTACTGAGTAACTACTAACACAAACTTTGTGTGCCTTGGTGTGGACAGCTCCTGGATCTGAAAAGTTTCAATTGCCGTGCAGATATTCTCATCACAAGAAAAACAATCCAATGAAGCAGCACTCCTAAAACGACGATTTGGGCACCACCTCTCAAAAGATCAGGGACGTTTCACGGCACTCCGGATCGTGCCTTGCGACCTGACTAGCAGCCCGGCGTTGTCGATCCCTCTTCTTTGGGCTCCTGGTAGCCATGTCAGGGATCTGGTGGGGGTGTGAACTATTCAGTTGAAAGGTTGCTTCGTCGGTCCATCATGTTGCCGGCCATTTACATCGTTGGCATCGTTTGTCTCAGGTACAAATGATCATAAGAGTGCGGTGAAAACAGTTTATTCTACATGCGCCTGTATTTCTTAGCAATACGGACGGATAAATATATCACTCATGCAGCCTCACAGCCTCGCACACACATATGCGCTATTCCCAGCACTCGCCGTCCATCCGTTTTAGTAGTTGCGGGCGGGGGCAGGAGCATTATAACGAGCAGGAGCCGGAGCAGGAGCATTGTACTGCCTGGGGGCAGGAGCGGGAGCGCTGTACTGCCTGGGAGCAGGAGCAGGAGCAGGAGCGGGAGCGTTTGTACTGCCGAGGAGCAGGAGCAGGAGCCACAGGAGCGGGAGCGTTGTACTGCCGGGCAGCAGGAGCCGGGGCGCTGTAGCGGGCGGGAGCGGGGGCTGGGGCAGAGCCATAGCTCTGCTCGCCCTGGTACACCTGCGGCACGATCGGCAGCGGGTACTCGGTCGGCACCGGCGTCGGCAGGATGTCGCTAGACGGCTGGTAGCCGTTCTCGTCGGCAACAAACGTCACCTGGATGGGGTTGCCGTAGTCGTCGCTGTAGCTCCAGCCACCCTGCTGTACGTAGCCGCCGGTGGGCTGGCCGTACTCGGATTTGCCGTAACCGGCTTTGGGGCTGCCGTTCTCGTTACGTGAGATGCCGTTCTCGGTCTGGAAGCTGAACTGGTAGGTGCCGTCGCCCGGGTGGACGTTCTCCTCGCTGAGGATGGCGAAGGGCTGACCGTAGCCGGCCGGCTGCTGGTAGGAGGCCGGTGCCGCCGGCTGCTGGTAGGAGGCTGGTGCCGGGGCCGCTGGCCGCTGGTAGGAGGCGGGTGCCGGCTGCGGCCGCGGGCCATCAGCGCAGGCCAGAGCCGCCAGCGAGGCTACGATCAACTGGAAAAACACCCAAGTGACGTCAGAGCGAGTGCTGATCCAGCAGTGCATGCAGAGGCTGAAATCGCGACGCACCTTTTTACCGTGATAAGACGTAGTTCAGCGCCTTTGTCAGGTCAGTTTCTCTCATCAGCGGATGCAGGGATCAAGGGATGGCTATGGAATATGTGTAGCATCTCACAGCGCATTGACTGACGACGTGGCCTTTCACACTGATTGAGGGACTGCTGAAATTGCAGCCTACGTCCGCACGCCTGTTCTGATCTCTTCTGACAAGAGTGGTATCGTGCCAATCTGCCATCCAAGCTAGTTTTGGACGTCAAATTACGCTCCTGATTTTTTATGGTGACCAATTTAAGCAAGCCATGGTAATATTGCGGTTCACCGGAATGGCTGCATACCCACCTGTTTACTAAACACACTTTGGCTTGGAAAGACACGGAAAAAATGAAAGATGATCAACGACCTTATCTAAAAGACCCTCCCTGGCGCCCCAACTGACAGCACAGACACCGCTGGAATACGAAAGGCATCCCTCATGTGAAGCACCGATCTCTCTGGCCGCACTCACCAGCTTCATGTTTGCCGTGGCGTTGTAAGATGGAGACCACTGCTGGCGAGTGACTGGTGCCTGGTGTCTGTGCGGCCGGGCTTTTATTTGGCCGTGGGAGGGCGACGCGGTTGGCCGTCACGCTGCCGCCGGCGGCGCTGCCCCACCTGACGCAACGCCCTCTGCAGTGGGCGACCCGTCCAGCCAGGCGACCCGACCACAACCGGCCGCCGGTCCACCGATCTCACGTGAGCCGGCCCGACCCAACGCCGCTTCCAAGGGGGCGGGGACGGCGGCACGGACCACGCACAGAAACATGTTCAGGTTGGAAGCAGAACGGTTAGCAAGTTACTAGGTTTTCTGGTACAAGCGGCAGGCTAGCGCTCTGGGTTGCGCCACCTTCAGGTCGGCGTCGGAGCGGCACGGCCGCGCAATCGAACACCAGCCAATGATTCGCAGGGAAGCGGCCGATGACGGATGCCTTTTACGTTGTGACTGATGCTGAAAGGCTAGTGAAGATGCTGCACAATTTAGGGAACGATTATGCGAAGATAGCTAATTGTCCGCGCATATTTAAAACACACGTAGCCACGGCGTGGCCCAACAGTGCCTATAAGCATCACATGGACGAATGCGATAAAACACTTAGTCAATTCTTCATCACTTTTGGCCAGATGGGGAGAGTAAATAACGAGAGGAAAACACGCCAATTACGCGAACTGCGTGGGCATGGCCGATTGCGTGTGCTTTGTGATGCCATGAAAATGCTGACGTTGTGCGTGCCCTTAACATGTCGGCCTTGGGTTTTGACTTGTCTCGTAATCCCAATGAGGTCGAAACGCTATCCGCCGCGTGCAGTGCACACTGGCTGCCATCCCGCTGCGTGGCGGCAGTACACGCTCTACAGCTTACCCTGCCGTGTTCATCGCTCACGGGCGGGGTAGATCCCTAGACATCACCGGCTCGGAAAACGTAGCGCAATGGTAGACATGGGCGGGTGTGATGATGAATGAATAAGTTGCTATCGAACGGTTGCCGACGCTTTTTTCGGTTTTGCTGTCCTCGAGAAGAAGGAGCATAGCACGGCGTGACAAGAGCACTCACTGGCACGGCTGTGGTCGCCGGCTCACCCTCGCTCACGGCATCGTTTGTGGCCGCGGTATGTTATGACATGCGAATATCCCCTATAGTGATGCGTTAGTTATTGCACAAAGAACGGCGAATGGACAAAGAACTACGCGATGATGCGATAAATTTCGACTGCGTAGTAATGCTCGGTTAGCGTATGAATGGCAGTGAATAAAGGTCAACAAGATATTAAAGACAGATATTGAAGACAACAGATCTTCTGCATCTCAAAGACGTTCAGGCGGCTGACAAATTTATCCAATTTAGGTATAAAGTATCTGCAAGCTTGCAGTTGGAACATTTTGCAGGGAAATTGATCAGCACTTGAAGCCATAGATGGTGTCTTTAAACATGATCGGAAAAGAAGGAAAAATGAAGTTGCATTACAATTAAGTGTGACCAAGAAAACCAAAATAATTGGATAAAGATAGAGACTGAGAAATGTTTGGTCAAAATTTGTTATCAGTTAACTGGCAAAAAAGCTGTAAAAACGGGTGCTCAAAGTGTGATATTCACCTCTTAAGTTTCATTAACAAAGCATTTCTTGAATTTTTCACTCCCACATTTCGGGAGTGGTGCAATTAAGTGGTCAAGTTTCCTCGGGTAAAGTTGGCGATGCTAAGACACTGAAGATGGGTATGAGATTTGGACTTAACCTGTCTATTGCTTTCACCTTTCAGTTTTATATAAGAATGAAACTATCCGTACTATACGCAATACACGCTCTCCAGCTTCCCCTGTCGTGTTCGTCGCTCACGGGCAGGGTAGACACCTGGATGTCACTATGTTCGGAAATCGTGGCGCAGTGGTAGACAGAGCCGGGTATGGTAATGAATGAACAATTTGCCATTGAACAGTTGCCGGCACTTTTGCAAGTTTCCTGCTCTTGAAAAGAAGGAACATAGCACGGCGTGGCATGAACACTCACTGGCACGGCTGCGGTCGCCGGCTCACGCTCGCTTACGCCATCGTTTGTGGTCGCGATATACCATGACATGTAAACATCCCCTACAGTGATGCCTTAACTACCGCACGAATAACGGCGGATGGACAAAGAACTACGCGATGATGCGATAAATTTCGAATGCGCAGCAATGCTCGGTTAACGTATGGTCAACATATGGTCAATGGTCAGTGAATGAAATGTCAACGAGATATTGAAGATTACGATGCGGTCAGTTCTCCTCAACTGCTTTCTGGTCCTGGCGGCGGCTGCAAATTTGTTTTTCACTAGTGTTTGTATTCAATTGCAAGGCCATCATGTGAAATAATATTTGTTTGAGCCCCAGCCCTAAGCCGTGCAGTGTTGGGGGTGCATGTATCTCTCGACCAAACGGGCTGAAAGGCCCTTTTGACCAGTGTCACACAGCCTGACACCTCGTCACGGTACACGGTATGTGATGTCCGCATCCTCCAGCTGCGGAGATCCGGCTGGCCACGACCTTAAGACGGTGGGGACGGTTCAGAAACGTCACTTTCTTGCAAAATGTCCTCCCGTATCCCGGCTCGCCCTAGCCAGCTAGTGATCTCACCGGCAAAAGCCGGCTGTTCGACAGATCCAACACGGCGTTCACCTGCAAACGTTAGATGAAGGTTATCTTAGTTATCACTGCAGTGCCAGTTTCTGAAGGCAATTTACAAAAGAGAGGTTGAAATTTGAAACAACACATAAATAGAAGGTGCAGAGATTTTACCGTTGTACCTCATGTCGGCAAGACAAAGGCGTGGTCTTCTTAAATAGCCTGCATCAGCTCATGCCTTTGTGCTGGCAAAGCGTAAATAAATTTGGATATTTCAAGTCGTGGGAAGTCTGCTTAGCTCATTACACTGAGCATGGGCACAGCTAATATATGTACAGTTCTAGGAAAGTGCAGACATATTTCTTCCCATACAGCCACTGGAAATCGACAGTTTTACTCCTATTTCACAACCTTCGAATGCGCCACAACAGCCGCAATGCCATATTCGTATTGGAGTATCAAACTCGGGATCTTATATGTTGTGTGTGTTGTCCTTAGAGGGACGTATCATTCAACAGCATGAAATAAAGTTACGTTGTTGTTTGTTATGGTGCGTACAAGCAAGGATAGCAAGAATAAGCTGTTCAAGAATGCCACTGTGTCACTGACATGCGCATTTAGCAAAGCAGCAAAACAACGTTGTATATTTATCAATAGCTCATTGAGCAAATTTGTGTTGTCATCAAATGTTTACGAAAATAAATAGTTGGCAACTGATATCTAGACCTTCGTTTACGATTCACATTGCCTGCTGAATGCAGCTTTCTGATCTTAATCGCAATAAAAGCTGCGTCATTTGCTGAACTGTATCTTTTACATAAACCTGTGCGCAGATACCTGTTTTGAAGGAGATGACAACCTAAACGGAAAGCAGATATAAATTAGAAGTGTACTTTGAAAACTAATGCCCATTGCGGTAACACTGAAACGCATCACATCAAGTGTGCCAGAACGAAACGTGTGCGTAGCTCAGTCCAGTGTCGCTGAGCCCATCGCTGGAGTAGCAATAAGCCTAGCACGGGAGCCGTCGCGTGTCCAACTTAGGAGACGCGTGTTCAGCTCAGGCGGAGTCGCTTGTTCACGAGCAGTCGCGTATCCCAACGAAGCGTCAGAGAACTCCACATCCCCTCCAATCTTCTTGCAAGGGCCAGGAGACCCCTAAGAAACAGTGATAGAAAAAATGGAAACTTTGGCACAAAAGCATTGGTGCGCAGCGCGCACTCCATGCAGCGCCACCTTCCCCGCACAAGCTACGTCTTCAATTTAGAGATGCCGCACCCCAGCCCATTCCACCCCAACACCCTTCACTCTCGAGTGTTCTAACTCGGCCTTAGCCCCACCACATTTCACATAATATTCGCTACACGTTTTGTGGCTTTACGTCCGATCGTGAAGTGGAACTGGCATAAGTCCAAGGGGAAACCGATATTTCAGGGATGGTTAGGTGGATCCCGATTTGGGATTGGTCATGTCATTGGAATGTTCCAGTGTCCCTCCCCCGCCGATTGCGGAGGTAGTTTTTGTCCCACTCAAGAACCTTCACCGTAGTTAACTATAAACCGGGGCCGCTTTCACTTGAGCTACTGAGTAACTACTAACACAAACTTAATGTGTATTGGCGTGGACAGCTCCTGGGTCTGAAACGTTTCAGTTGCAGTGCAGATATTCTCATCAGAAGAACGACAATCCAGTGAAGCAGCACTCCTAAAACGACGATTTGAGCGCTACCTTCCAAAAGATCAGGGACGTTTCACGGCACCCCGGACCGTGCCGTGCGACCTGACTAGCAGCCCGGCGTTGTCGATCCCTCTTCTGTGGGGTCATGGCAGCCAGGTCAGGGATCTTGTGGGGATGCGAACTACTCAGTTGAAAGGTTGCCTCGTCGGTCCATCATGTTGCTGGCCATTTACATCGTTGGCATCGTTTGTCTCAAGTACAAATGATCATAACAGTGCGGTGAAAACAGTTTTTTACATGCGCCTGTATTTCTTAGCAATACGGACGCATAAATATATCACTCATGCAGCCTCACAGCCTCGCACACGCATATGCACTACTCCCAGCGCTCGCCGTCCATCCGTTTTAGTAGTTGCGGGCGGGGGCAGGAGCACTATAACGAGCAGGAGCCGGAGCAGGAGCATTGTACTGCCTGGGGGCAGGAGCGGGAGCGCTGTACTGCCTGGGAGCAGGAGCAGGAGCCGCAGGAGCGGGAGCATTGTACTGCCGGGCAGCAGGAGCCGGGGCGCTGTAGCGGGCGGGAGCGGGGGCTGGGGCAGAGCCATAGCTCTGCTCGCCCTGGTACACCTGTGGCACGATCGGCAGCGGGTACTCGGTCGGCACCGGCGTCGGCAGGATGTCGCTAGACGGCTGGTAGCCGTTCTCGTCGGCAACAAACGTCACCTGGACGGGGTGGCCGTAATCGTCGCTGTAGCTCCAGCCGCCCTGCTGGACGTAGCCGCCGGTGGGCTGGCCGTACTCAGATTTGCCGTAGCCGTCCTTGGGGCTGCCGTTCTCGTTACGTGAGATGCCGTTCTCGGTCTGGAAGCTGAACTGGTAGGTGCCGTCGCCCGGGTGGACGTTCTCCTCGCTGAGGATGGCGAAGGGCTGGCCGTAGCCGGCCGGCTGCTGGTAGGAGGCCTGTGCCGCCGGCTGCTGGTAGGAGGCTGGTGCCGGGGCTGCCGGCCGCTGGTAGGAGGCTGGTGCCGGCTGCGGCCGCGGGCCATCAGCGCAGGCCAGAGCCGCCAGCGAGGCTACGATCAGCTGGAAACACACCCAGCTGACGTCAGAGAGGGTGCCGACCCAGCTTTGCAAGAAGTGGCTGAAATCGCGACGCATCTTTTGGCCGTGATGATACTTAGTTCAGTGCCTTTGTCATGTCAGTTTCTGCCATCAGTCTCCGGCTGTGGATGCAGGGACCAAGGGATAGTTGTGGAATATGTTTAGCACCTGACAGCGACGACTGGCGACGTGGCCTTTCCCACTGATCCAGGGACTGTTGAAATTGTGGCCCACGTCCGCACTTCTGTTCTGATCTCTTCTGGTCAGTGTGGTATGACAGCAACGCTTTGGATGTCAAATTACGCTCCTGATTTTTAAGGTGACCAATTGAAGCACGTCATGCTAATATTGCGGTTCACCGAAATGGCTGCATGCCTACCTGTTTAGGCTCCTTGGAAGGAATGAAAAGGGCACTAAAACTAAATACATTTTGACTTTTTCGGACGCAGAAGTAATGGAAGATGATCAACAACCCTATTTGCAAGACCCTCTGTGTCGCCCTAACTGACAGTACGGGCGCCGCTGGAATACGACAGGCAACGCTCATGTGAAGCACCGATCTTCCGGACCGCACTCACCAGCTTCATGTTTTCCGTGGCGATGTGAGGTGGACACCACTGCTGGGGAGTGACTAGTGCCTGATGTCTGTGCGGCCGGCCTTTTATTCGGCCGTGGGAGGGCGACGCGGTTGGCCGTCACGCTGCCGCCGGCGGCGCTGCCCCACCTGACGTAACGCCCTCTGCAGTGGGCGCCCACGTCCAGCCAGGCGACCCGACCACATCCGGCCGCCGGTCCACCGATCTCACGTGGGCCGGCTCGGCCCGGCACCGCTTCCGATGGGGCGGGGACGGTGGCACGGAGCACGCATTGAGACAGGTTTAGGTTGCAAGCAGAAGGGTTAGCAGGTCAAAAAGTTCCCTGGTACAGACGACAAGCTGACGCTCTGAGTTGCACCGCCTTCAGCTCGGCGTCGGAGCGGCACGGTCGCGGAATCGAACACCAGCCAATGATTCGCAGGGAAGCAGCCGATGAGGGATGCCTTTTACGTTATGACTGATGGTGAAAGGCTAGTGAAGACCCAAAAAAGACATGAAGCTCTCTGGTTCCTGACTAAAAGGCCTACAAAAGTGCGAAAAAGTTTATTGGGAGACTACCTGAAAGTCACCTTGGCAGTGATGACGTCATATAACGTCATACGATCGTCGTTATAGAGGTTATAAAGGTTATAAAAAGAGAACACGAGCGATGATGCGGCACGCATGGTACAATCCGCGGAAGGTGATTGGCTGTTGAAAAAAAAATTCGCTGTGAATGCGTGTCGCGAGCCTAATGGCGAGCACTTTCTGGTTGTCTGGCACTTGTGGTCAACTGGGCACTTAAGAAAATACCACCGGCCCTGTCTGCAAAGATAGTGCAGTACCGAAGAACGGCACGCTTCCGAATGTTATAAAAAAGGCAAGACACGACGGCAAATTCACCTTTTTCTCGCACTGACGTTTTCTGTTGTTTTACTGACGTATTTTTTACAGACAGCTCAGTTAGCGTCTTGTATACCGGAGTAAGGTGCCCTGCACGGTTTTATAGGTTAGCCAGACATTGTAACATTGAAGAAATATTATAGTAATTTTAGATATATAGATTTTGCTAAATATTCGTCACATGTCGAATGACAAGTTTAAATCTTTAACAAAATAATTGTGTCCTTCAAGTGTGAACTCTTGAGTTGTGTTACTATGAACCCCTTTTGGGACTCTGTTTTTGAAGGGAGCTCAAAGCGAAATGCGGTGTTGTAACCGAAAGCCTGTGCGGATATTGCAAGAAAACCTGCAATTTGATAGCCCCGCGGGTTATGCAAGTATGGGATTACACTGATTTGACATTCGAGTGTAAATCAAGCGTTTCAAATGGGTGTGATCGTTGATGAGACGTGCCAATGGCTTGTATTGATCTTGATGTAATGGGAAGGGTGCGTGTAAGGTTTGTAGTTCTAACAGAGAACATTGTTTGGTATTCTTTAAACCTAATAAATCCCAATAAAATGGTATGGTTTGATACCTGCTCTAGGTTTGCGATTTAACATGACAAAGTTATGATGGCGTCAAACTGAAAGAAACACTGGCATCTATGATTCAGGGGTGCTCAAAGGCAATTTGCTGTTTCATTATGATCTTGCCATAATTTCGAACCCATTGGGATATTCCACCATGTAATGAATCCCTTGCACGCCATTATATTAGCAATTCATTTAGGCAGTGGGGACAGGTCAGTGCGGCTCATTAATGAACATGCTTGGTCTGAGCATTTCAATTGTGTGAGATGCTGGGTACGGAGGAAGATGGAGAAGCATTGTAGTTGGTTTCCTGGACAGCACTTAATAGTATTTTTATCATGTGCCTTGTGTGCACCGGCAGCTTCATCACTTCCTTGCATTTCGCCCATCTAACTGCTACCACATGCACTTGTCAGGCCTTCATCATTGAGCAAGGTCAGCCGGTTCGCAGTGTCTTTTCACGACACTGAATGTTTTCTTGTTATGCATGTGCGACTACTTGTGTGAACTGCATTTTTAACACGCGCCCGGGTAGTCATTTGGATACCCTTCGCTCGGGTGAAGTGTAAATTTGACCCCCTGAGATCTCGGGAACTAAGAGAGCTAGACACACCAAATTCATGGAGTGTCTTGACCTGTACGCAATTTCCTAGGTCAAAGTTTGAAGTTAGTAAGTCATGACCGTCGGGTCAAACAGGGTCAAACAAGGTCATATTCCAGAATGGTGTCCAAAAGAACCCTAGAACCTAGGCAACTGTTTGAAGAAAAATTTCACGCACTCATTAAGGGTCAGTGACCTTGTTTGACCTTTTAACACACACCAGGGTCACCGGTTGGTCAATCTTTGCTCGGGTGAAGGGGATCAATCTGACCCCCTGAGATCCCCGGAATGAAGAGCGCTAGAGAGACAAAATTCACAGCGTGTGTTGAACTGTACGTGAACTCACTTAGGTCAAAGTTTAAAGCTCTTAGGTCATGACCTCCGGGTCAGATAAGATCAAGCATGGTTAAATTCCAGATTAGTCTCCAAAGGACCCCTAGTCATGATGAGCAGAATGATACAAAAGGGTTTTGAGTTGTGCATTTGGATAAGCGACAAAGATTACGCTAGGCAGTATGTTCCTAAAAACAAAGTGTTGACCTGGGTCATTTTAGGTCAGTGACCTATTCTGACTTATATGAAGTCCATGGAGGGTGTAAAATACGGTTCCTGCCATCAATATGTTCGAAATGAGCACCAGAAACAAGCCCATACAGCAAGCTCTAGAGTAATAAAACAGTTTGGTATTACCTTGGTCTGACATTCATACCTGACCCTAGGTCAATGCTTTTTGTGTATGCAATTGTTGTGTTGCCTAAGAAAAGATCTCAGTGATGCACGGATTCGTCTAACACTCCGTTGTTTGGTCGGATTGAACGATTCTCTAGAACGTGCCTTCGCTGGAACCATGACCTGACTCGTACTTACCATAGGTCAGCGACCTTACAAGGTACTTCTAAATGTTCATTGTCACACATTTTGTTATTTAATTGTCTACAGCTATGCAAAATTTTGCGCGGCTTCACCGCGCCGTTTGGAAATCATTTCGGGAAACCCTCGGAGGGGTAAATTTGACCCCTACCCGAGCGCGTGTTAAGTGAAGCAGTCTGATGGTTGTAGCATGTTGCATAGCTGTGGAGCAGAAGACATGACTGCATTTTTGTCACAGATTTTGCAGGGATTACAGAACAAAAACTGTACCATTGTTTAGTATGTCATGCCACAGTACAGCATTGAGGTAGTGCTACAATGACACTGTTAACCCGTGCCATTATGCAATGTGCCGCATTGGTTGACAAGATTGTGTGAAGCCCGTGAGATAACAGTTTGTAATTTATGAATAACTGGTAATACCTCATTTAACAACGCTAAATGACTGTTATCAGCGAGAATGCTTTTCCACCACAGTGGTGATATCAGGGTTAACTAGGAATTACATAAATAATCCTAAGCAAGAAAAACATTCATGGTAGCTCATCCCTACCATCTTTGCCACGGCATTAGCAATGTTCTGGCAATCAATTCACAGTAACGTTACAGATTTATTGATTTTTGCATGCAACTGCGTTATAATTACACAAGTTGGTAACTACTGCGCACATTACATAATATCAATGTCAGGACTACAGCACTGCAGGCAGGGATAAGCTGACAATACAATACGTATGTCAAACAGTCCACCAAGGCTTTTCTTACGACCGATACCGAGACAAAAAATCCCCAAACAAGCCATTCACTAATCGACCGCCCAACACAGCGCCCGCGACAAGAATGGCCGGTTGGCGTCAGCTTTCGTGCGTTTCTACGCATTCTTTAGTTCTTGCTGCCACATGCTGCCAGGTATTGCTGGCGTTACAAAACCACTCCATGACGCCATCAAACAATGGCGTAATGAGGCGCCTTTTTCAAGCTTTGAAATTTTGCTAGTTAGGGTCGTTTTTGAGCCTGGAAAGTTTACCAATAGTTACAAGCAAACTTTTCGCATCATATCTGACGCTTATCTCATTATATTTAAATGGGGAACATTCCTTTTCAAATGTTGTACAATTTCTCTGCAGCATAATCCAACTGAGAACTTGCATACACTTCATACCTAATTTGCATCAATATACCAGGCACCCAAACATGTCTGGTATGCACTCAACAGTGAACAATCTGTAGGGAATGAAG